TCTTCCTCCTCCTCCTCCTCCGTCGCCACCGCCACTTCCACTCTCGTGTCTCCGCCGCCATCTATAGATCGTCCTGACGTTCCCATTCCCATCGATTTCTACCAGGTTTTGCTCAGTCCTTCGCTGCTTCTCTCTCACTTCAGTTGCTTATCCTGTTGTAATCTGATTCTTTGCTCATTTCCGCAAATGTAAAAAGGTTTTAGGAGCGGAGACGCATTTCTTAACTGATGGTATCAGAAGAGCATTCGAAGCTAGGGTTTCGAAACCGCCTCAATTCGGTTTCAGCGACGAAGCGTTAATCAGTAGAAGACAGATTCTCCAAGCGGCTTGTGAGACTCTGTCGAATCCTCGGTCTAGAAGAGAGTATAACGAAGGTCTTCTTGATGACGAGGAAGGTACTGTCATCACTCATGTACCTTGGGAAAAGGTAAGATTTTGCAAGTTTGGAAATGTTTCTTCATTCGATTCTCAAAATGTGGACAAAGTAAAGATTTTTGATCAACCTCAAATATGAAGGTTCCTGGTGCTCTCTGTGTACTGCAAGAAGCTGGTGAGAGTGAGATCGTTCTTCGTGTTGGAGAAGCCTTGCTCAAGGAGAGGTTGCCTAAATCGTTCAAGCAAGATGTGGTTTTAGCTATGGCGCTTGTGTTTGTGGATATCTCGAGGGATGCAATGGCATTGGATCCACCTGATTTTATTACCGGTTACGAGTTTGTTGAGGAAGCTCTGAAGCTTTTGCAGGTAATTTTGACTTAGTTTTTTTTTTTTTTTTTTGGGATAGTTCGGTGAATTGGATACGAACTCTCTTGATCTGATCTTGGGCTTCAATGGTATATTAACTTTTTTTTCACTTTTTTCAAATGTATGGTGTTACGAACTCTCTTGATCTGATTTTTGGGCTTGAATGGTATACGAACTCTCTTGATCTGATTTTGGGATAGTTCGGTGAAAACTTTATTCCACCGTTTCAAATTTATTGCTACTTCAGACAATTTTTTTTTGTTTTCATTATGCTGTTGTGTATTGCGCAGGAGGAAGGAGCAAGCAGCCTTGCACCGGATTTACGCGCGCAGATTGATGAGACTTTGGAAGAGATCACTCCGCGTTATGTCTTGGAGCTTCTTGGTTTGCCTCTTGGAGATGAACACGCAGGGAAAAGACAGGACGGTTTAAGCGGTGTACGCAATATCTTGTGGTCTGTTGGAGGAGGTGGAGCATCGGCTGTTGTTGGGGGTTTAACTCGCGAAAAATTTATGAACGAGGCGTTTCTACGAATGACAGCAGCTGAGCAGGTGCAAAATTTTATATCTTTTTCATGTTTTTACTTTGGTCTCTCGTTCTAATTCATGTCCCTTGTGTTAGAGTTATACTCGGTTTACTTGGTTTGATTGTTTGGTTAACTTAGATTCATTTGTATTGCTTGATATAGGCTTTAGTATATAACCAATTGTACAGCTTTCATTTGCATTCAGAATGAGAAACTATCTTTTCCCAGAAATCGTGTTCTTCAAACTCTCTCACTCTCAATATCGTAATGCCTTGTGTCGCAGGTTGATCTTTTTGTAGCTACCCCGAGTAATATTCCAGCTGAGTCATTTGAAGTGTACGAAGTTGCGCTTGCGCTTGTGGCCCAAGCTTTTATAGCTAAGAAGCCTCACCTACTACAGGATGCTGATAAGCAATTCCAGCAACTTCAGCAGGCTAAGGTAATGGCTATGGAGATTCCAGCGATGTTGTATGATCCGCGGAATAATTGGGAGGTAGACTTCGGTCTGGAGAGGGGGCTCTGTGCACTGCTTATAGGCAAAGTTGACGAATGCCGTATGTGGTTGGGTTTAGACAGTGAGGATTCACAGTATAGGAGTCCAGCTATTGTAGAGTTTGTCTTGGAGAATTCGGATGGCGATGACGATCATGATCTCCCTGGGCTATGCAAACTATTGGAAACTTGGTTGGCAGGTGTTGTGTTTCCTAGATTCAGAGACACAAAAGATAAAGATTTTAAACTTGGGGATTATTATGATGATCCCATGGTTTTGAGTTACTTGGAAAGAGTAGAGGTAGTTCAGGGCTCTCCTCTAGCTGCTGCTGCAGCTATGGCAAGGATGGGTGCTGCGCATGTGAAGGCTAGTGCTATGCAGGCACTGCAGAAAGTTTTTCCATCTCGATATTCAGATGGAGTCGCGAATGAAGCCAAGGATGCGCAAGAGACAGCGTTTACTGTGGAGGGAAATGATGATGAGACTGCTGTGTTTATTCCAGAAGCTGAAAGACCCCCTGAGAACTTTGGTACAAGTGATTATGCGACTCGAACCGAGGTTTCGAAGGGTAGTATTGATGCAGTTACTGTTGAAAAGGCTGTTGCTGATAAGGTAAAGGAGGCAAGTGTGAAGATTCTATCTGCTGGTGTTGTTATTGGAATGATTTCGCTTGCCAGCTTGAGGTATTTGCCACTTAAAAGCAGCTCATCTTTTCAACGCAAGGATATGGCTTCTTCTACAGCATCTGACATTGCCATTATAGGTATGATTAAACGATCCATTTCTTACGCTTCTGTTCATTGCTCAAAATAAGTTTTGTGAGCTTAATACATAGTTTGCTAGATGTTTGACAATTTCCCACTAAGTTGTCCAAACTATCCCATTTCCTTAACAGGAACGTAAGTAGATGATTGGCATAATACAACGATTTTGATCTCATTCTATAGATTAGATGAAGAAAATCGATCCCAAAAGATATCCTGAGTTATTAGAAGCGGGGTTATCAAGCTGCTTAGTAGATTTGACTCTCAACATGTATGTTGCTTGAATTTTTTGATCTAACTGTAGACATTTCTGTTTAGGATAACGTAGGATTTTGGAAATTGTCTACAGTGCATTGTCCAGCTTTTATTTTCTTGAATGTTATTGTCTTTTTTGAAATAGACTCAGTGAAAGCTGAGGATTCGGAAGCACTTCCCAGAATGGATGCTAGGACAGCAGAGAGTTTAGTCAGCAAGTGGCAGAAGATAAAGTCTCAGGCTTTTGGGCGTGATCATTGCATAGAAATGTTGGCAGAGGTTAGATAATAATGCCACAACTCAATCAATTGTGTGAAAACTGTGGACCTGATTCCAGCGCCTTGAACAATCTCTGGTGCCTTTCTGATTCTGGTAAATTTATAGGTTTTGGATGGGCGAATGCTGAAGATCTGGACGGAGAGAGCAACTGAAACCGCGCAGCTCGGGTTGGTCTATGATTATACACTGTTGAAACTATCTGTTGACAGTGTGACTGTCTCAGCGGATGGAACCCGTGCAGTAGTGGAGGCAACTCTGGAGGAGTCTGCTTGTCTATCTGATTTGGTTCATCCAGAAAACAATGCTACAGATGTCAGAACCTACACAACAAGATACGAAGCTTTCTGGTCCAAGTCAGGCTGGAAAATCACTGAAGGCTCTGTTCTTACATCATAATATCCTCATATGTAGCATGCGATTTTCGCTTTAAGTTAGTGTTTATAAATGAACACGCAAATATTCAGGTTCTTGTCACTTCCTCATCTTTGGTCTATATTACAATATAAGTGCTACAATTTGGGATTCTTTCACAATCAGGTGCAAGCCTTTCTCAACTTTACAGGTGGCTTCTGTTTTGTTTATGTTTGAAAAAAATGTTCTCGTGTTATAATCCGGTCAAGTGTATACCAGAGAATGATTTGGTAGATCTACAGCCAGATGATTTTACAAGCTGAGGCCAAACATTTCCTTTGGCATCCGACTTGGCTCAACAAATCCTAGCAGCTAAACAGACGTCATAGCAGAGTAGATGTATATTTATTTAACAAGCAAAACACAATCCATATCTTGGAACTGTCTGGTATTGAGGTTTTTGTCAACTGTTAAACACAATCCAGAGCTTGGCTCCACGAGTATGGTTTACACAGAGATTCAAGGGAACATCAATGCGACCTTTACCGGGTAACAGTCAATGAAAGAATCTCAACATTTTGTTTATGTCAGTTATGTGAATATGTATGTAACGTTTTGCAGTGTATGTGAGCAGCTTAATCTCAACACAAACCGTACAATGGCAGGGAAAATTGTGTTGTATTTCACAACACCACCACTTTTCACGGCTGTAGCGAAAGCTGCTTCTTATGTGAAGGCAGTAGGTGGTCTTGGCGTGACCATAGCGAGAAATCCAGGTTACAATCTCACTCCATGTAGAGATGATTTCCCCTGTGTAGCCATTGATTACGAGCTTGGGACCGACCGATGTACTTCTCTACATACGTTCCACTAGGTATGAAACTATCAATTTTAATCTCAAACCTTTAAAAAAAATCTGCTTGCTGGAATCTGAGAATAGGTTTCTACGGGAATTGTGGTTTTAACCATCCGAGTTTTTCAAAAACGTTTTATTATCTAAATTTTATGTTCCATATTTTATGAAACATTCTTCGAATAATACATTTTCATATTCAAACTACTTTTTTCGACCCATAAGTTTTGGTTTGGCGAAAATGCTTTCTCAGAAGCTAAGTAAATTTCTGCAATTAACAGAAGAAGAAACTACTAATCACTCAGAAGTTATAAAACCTACTCGCCGCCTTAATCGCCGTCACGACGGCGATTTCTCTCCTGGTGACAAACAGATACTTTAATTTTCGAGGTTCGGTCCCTATCTTAATCTCATTTCCTTTGTTGTCAATCCAAACATTGCTGCTATTTTGTTGGAATTTGTTGAAAATTCCATGAAAACGAAACATTGTTGGCCACACAAAGAATAATTGAGTTTGACCAAAACGTTTCAGTTTCTTGAATTATTGTTCTCAATCTCTGCAATTTCAAATATATCCCCACGAGAACTTAAACACGTTTCTTTATTAAAGATGCGTTTACTTTCTCAAAAGTCTTCAAGTAGTGATTGAAATTAACGAAACACTATTTTCTGTGTGACTTATGTAAAACAATCTTGGAGGATAAGATAACTATTGCTATATAAAAGCTTTGTTTCCTCAAATAAAATTTTAAGTAGATTGAAAAAATTAATGAAACACTCTTTTTCGTTTGGTATGATGACTTACAGATCATCACTTCTCTTTGTGCTAAGCCTGATAATTGTTTTGAATGTCGCACGAGTTGGTGCTGAGAGCAAGGTAATTTTTTTTTTTTTTTTAATCAAGAGATCAATGAAGAGAAACCAATAAAATGTCATGACAAAGTTTTGGTTGTGTTGTTGGTGATAATCAAATAGGTTCATATAGTGTATTTGGGTGAGAAGCAGCATGATGATCCTGAGTTTGTCACAGAATCTCATCACCAGATGTTATCTTCACTTCTTGGAAGGTACAAAACAAAGCTTACTTGATTAGTATTCGACACCATTATATGTCTCAAGCTGTTACCAAAAGGTTTTATCTTTGTGTCACAGTAAAGAGGAAGCACATGGTTCAATGGTGCACAGTTACAAACATGGCTTTTCAGGCTTTGCTGCCAAGCTTACCGAGTCACAAGCCAAGAAACTCGCTGGTACTCACTGGCTCTCTGTTATCTTAAGTCTCACCATGTCCTTCTCTTATTAGCATTTTGATGATAACAATCTAAGATTAGGTTGATTGAAGCAACAGCAGCTAAGTATTTATCTATTTATTGGAAACAGATTCACCTGAAGTTGTTCATGTCCTACCGGATAGTTTCTACGAACTGGCTACAACTCGGACTTGGGACTACTTAGGTCTTTCTGTTGCCAATCCGAGCAATCTCCTAAATGATACAAACATGGGTGACCAAGTTGTCATTGGCTTTATTGACTCAGGTATAAGTAGTTTTCATTAGATCCCAATTCCTGTTTATTTTGATTCCTTAATGACTTGTGATTTTGTGTGGTTGTAGGAGTGTGGCCAGAGTCTGAGTCGTTTAACGACAATGGGGTTGGACCTATACCGAGCCACTGGAAAGGAGGATGTGAACCAGGAGAAAGCTTCATATCAACAAACTGCAACAGAAAGCTCATAGGAGCCAAGTACTTCATCAACGGCTTTCTTGCCGAAAACGAAGGATTCAACTCCACAGAATCGCCTGACTACGTTTCCGCTAGAGACTTTATTGGCCATGGCACGCATGTAGCTTCCATTGCAGGTGGTTCGTTTGTTCCTAACGTAAGCTACAGGGGACTCGCTGGAGGAATCTTGAGAGGCGGCGCGCCTCGTGCTCGCATAGCCATATACAAGGCCTGTTGGTATCTGAAACGGCTAGGTACAGTGGCTTGCTCATCTTCTGACATCTTGAAAGCAATGGATGAAGCTATGCATGATGGAATTAATGTTCTGTCGCTCTCTCTCGGCGCTCAAGTTTCCTGAAACTGATCTGCGTGATAGAATTGCTACTGGAGCGTTCCATGCAGTAGCAAAGGGCATCATAGTTGTTTGTGCCGGTGGGAACTCTGGCCCTGCGGCTCAGACCGTGTTGAACACGGCTCCTTGGGTCTTAACAGTTGCTGCAACCACTTTGGATCGGTCCTTTGCCACACCTATTACACTTGGGAACAACAATGTCATACTGGTAAAGCAGAGTAGATATATATTTTTTTAATCTAGCAAAACACAATCCAAATCTTGGAACTGTCTGGTTTTGAGTTTTTGTCAACTGTTGTCACAGGGACAAGCACTGTACACAGGTCCAGAGCTTGGCTTCACTAGTTTGGTTTACCCAGAGAGTCAAGGGAACAGCAATGAGACCTTTACCGGGTAACACTCAAAGAAATAATCACAACATTTTGTTTATGTCAGTTATGTGAATATGTATGTAACGTTTTGCAGTGTCTGTGAGAGTCTAAATCTCAAACCAAACCTTACAATGGCAGGGAAAGTCGTGTTGTGTTTCACCACAACAACACTTTTCACTGCTGTAGCGAGAGCTGCCTCTTATGTGAAGGCAGCAGGTGGTCTTGGCGTGATCATCGCGAGAAATCCAGGTTACAATCTCTCTCCATGTAGAGATAATTTCCCCTGTGTAGCCATTGATTACGAGCTCGGGACCGATGTACTTCTCTACATACGCTCCACTCGGTATGAATCTACGGCTAATGTCAATTTGTAAGAAAAGTACGCAAGTTTCTGAAATTTTTGGTTTTCAGATCACCTGTTGCGAAGATACAACCTTCAAGAACGCTCGTAGGACAACCCGTGGGGACAAAGGTAGCAACCTTCTCATCAAGAGGACCTAACTCGATTTCCCCAGCAATTTTAAAGGTATGTATGCTCAATCCTTATCTATTTACCCATCAGATGTTTTAAATCACAAAAAGCTACATTTTTTATGGCGATGCAGCCTGACATTGGGGCACCGGGAGTGAGCATATTAGCTGCTACATCTCCAGATTCCAATTCCAGTGATGGTGGATTCGATATTCTTGCGGGAACATCAATGGCGGCTCCAGTTGTTTCAGGAGTTGTTGCACTTCTCAAAGCTATGCATCCTGATTGGTCCCCTGCTGCCTTTAGATCAGCTATTGTCACTACAGGTTCTTATTTACTTCCACGAGTTACCTTGAAATCACTCTTTAAACTAGAACACACTGATCTCATCTCAGTAAGTGTTCTTTACTTTGCAGCTTGGAGAACAGATCCATTCGGAGAGCAGATTTTTGCAGAAGGTTCATCTCGCAAAGTAACTGATCCGTTTGATTACGGTGGAGGCCTCGTGAACCCTGAGAAAGCTGCAGATCCAGGTCTCATTTACGACATGGGCTCAGAAGACTACATTCTCTACTTATGCTCTACCGGTTACAACGACTCATCTATCTCTCAGCTTGTCGGTAAAAGAACAATCTGTTCAAACCCAAAACCTTCTGTTCTTGATGTCAATTTGCCTTCGATCACCATTCCAAACCTCAAAGATGAAGTCACTCTCACCAGAACCGTCACTAACGTTGGACCAGTTGATTCGGTTTACAAAGTCGTGGTTCAGCCTCCGCTTGGGGTTCGAGTGGTTGTGACGCCGGAGAGGCTAGTGTTCAATTCCAAAACCAAAAGTCTCTCCTTCAAGGTTCGTGTCTCGACCACACACAAGATCAACACTGGTTTCTATTTTGGAAGCTTGGTTTGGACTGACTCTGTGCATAACGTGACTATTCCTGTTTCTGTTAGAACACAGATTCTGCAAAACTACTATGATGAGAATTGATGATTTGTGTTTTTGCTGATAAACTGTATAAGTAATCTATACCTTCTTTGCCTTGTGTGTTAATAAAACAATTGTTTGGGGTTATTAATAACTAGGTGGTTGGCCTGCACTATATAATATTTTTGATATACATAGTTAAAACATTAGTATGTTTGTATATATATATTTTTTTAGTATTTCACAACTTATTTCTGAAACTAATGTATTTTAAAAACTTTTTATTTTTATGAAATTTGTAATAATATATAATCAAAAATATAAAAGTTATATTAAATAATAATTAAATTTTTATAATATTTTTTGAATATTATTTATAATATGTTTTATTTTACTCTACACAATCTATAATAAATTTTTATGTCTTATATAATATGAGTTTGAAATACGTATATAATATTTTTAAGTATATATATATATTTTTTATTTATTGTAAATTAAACTAAAATAGTTTTTTCCATTTTTACTTATCCTAAGAGCGGATAGATAATTGCCATGCATGTGTGGGGTACCAACCACCTCACTATACTTATAATAGATAAATATTAAAAAAAAAAATTGTACTATAAAAATTAAAATATAAATTAGACTGTAATCAAGCTTAACAAATACTAACATACACGAAAAGTTTATATGATTTCTACTAATGCACAATTAATATTTATGTCTGTACGCGTATTTGTAAAAAAGTCGAAATATGGCTCTTACATGTAAAAAGATTTTTAAGTGATTTTGTAAAACAAAGTGTGAGATTTATTTTTATACACCTCTATTTTTAATTCTTATTCATATTTATTTCATCTTATTTTAATTTATTATTTTGTTCGGTTATTTTTTTTATTTCATTTATGATTTCAAATTTTTTGATATACAATAAAAAAAATTACGAATATATATATATATATATATGAATATGACATAATTTTTTTTTATTTAAACTATGATAAAAGATAAGATGAGATGGTAACATAAGTTATATATATTTTAGAAAATAACAATAAAAATGTGATAAAAGTTTTATAAAAATAGATGGTCCTATTAATATTAGAAAACAATAATTAGTATATACTTTATTCATTTAGTAAATATTGGTTTGAAAAGAAAATTTATTTTAAATTACGTTTTTAAAAAAAATTCAATAAAAGTTAATTATTATTATTTTTTAACATTTTATTCCTTAAATTATCTTTTATCATGATTGTATTTTATTTGAAATTTTATTATTTAATAATTTTTTTATTTAAAACTTGTTTAGATGTTATTACTATATTTTGTAAATTAATAACTTTCCAAAATAAAAATATATCAAATAATTAATAATATATAAAATCTTTACTATTCTATTGGATAATTTAGTATTATTTTTTCGATTTCATATGAAATATATATATATATATATATTTGTTGAAAATATTTTTTAATTATATTTTATGAAATTATGAATATATGTAAAACATTAAAATTATAATAATAATTATTCTCTGTTAATTTAAAATTTGTTAATTTTAGTATTATAAGTATAATCTAGTGTTTTTATGTTTTAATTTCACAAATTCTTTAATTTTAATTCAATCAATCAAAACATTTCATTTATTTTAGGAAGTTTGACATGTCACATTTACATGTCATCAATTAAAAACACTAACTTTGGCTGTAGTGTTGACAAGTCAGCTATTTTTAATAATGTTACTTCTCAATTAATATGTAGTGAATGTGAGACATACATTCAATGTTCAAATTTTTTGGTAAATAAATGGCGGGTTTTGTACCAAAAAACAGAACCTAATCTAAATTAGGTAATCCAGCTTGGTTTCAGTTAGAGCATCTCGAAGAGACGCTTCAAATTTGAAGTTTGGGAAACTTTAAATTATTATCCAAAGGTAAACTTCAAAAAAAACTTCAAAATATTTATATTTTGCATTATAGTCCTTAATATTAATAATAGTTAATTAATATCATTAAACTTTTATAAATAACTAATACATACATATAAAAAGATTACAAACGATATTAATCAATAAAACATTACATAGTAATATAAAAATATAATATACACATATTAAATTATAAATTACAAATAAAATATTAAATTATTCAATAAAACTATTTCTATAGTGCTCTCATTTATGATCAATCAATACATTTTGAAGTGATAAATGAGCTTCTTTATTTTTGATGAAATTGGGCATTTTCAAGAACAATCAAGAATCATACCAAAAAGAATTCAAGAACAACAACCACCTTCGACTACACCAAATTTTTATGGCCAGCTTTTTGATGACCTTGGAAGTTCAGGATCAAAATTACCTAAATATTAATATTATTGTATTTTAATTTGTATAATATTTCTATGTTTATGCAATTTATTTTCTTGTATTACTTTATTTTGTATTAAATTTGCTTTATATATAATTGTTGTTGTGTGATAAAAAATATTTATAATAATATGTAATATTTTTTCTAAATTAATTTTAATATTTTTATTTTATCTGTATATAAAAATTATATATATATAGATGTATAATTATATTATTTTGGACCAAAGTGATAAAGAATAAAACTAAAATATATATTTATATAGTATATAATTAGAGGAACTGAAATGCAAATAAAAAAAGGTAAAACTTCAAAATTTAAACTTTTGAAATGTCTCTTAAAATGCAATAAACTTCATATTTGAAGTATTGAAGTTTCTCTTTCAAATGCTCTTACACCCGCCAAAATACTCAAAATACCGAACCGTACCAGATGGGTCTGTAAACCAATAAATGACTCATTAAATGGGCCTTAGATCTGTTAACAGAAGCCCAATAAAATGTTCGAGCCCGCTGCCAATCATCTTCCCCGCTAGGTATCCCTCAGTTTCTCTCCTCCATTTGCTCTGATACTAAAGAGCTTCGTGATGGTCAGCTTCGGCGATTTCGCTCCAAGTTTCGCTATCGAACCAACAAATTCGAAAGATACTTTGGGATTACTTGTTGAAGTTCAGTCACTATCTCAATCTCGTTTTGCTTTGTTGATCGCGTCTGTTCCAAACCTTGCTATCTTCTTCAAATTTGTTGAAAATTTCAATGAGCTTTGACCCAAGACGTTTCCATTTCTTGAATATTCGTCTCAGTCTCTAGAAGCTGTGGTTTAGTCGCTCGAAAAGTAAATCACGTTTCTGTATAAAACGCTCTTTGCTTCCTCAAATAATTTCCAAGTACATTTCTAAAATTAATGAGACACTCTTTATTTTTTGTTTGTGGGATGATGAATGTCTGATAGTTGTTTTGAATGTCGCACGAGCAAGGTAAATTGATGCTCTGATACTCCTTATCGGAAAATTCATTGATCATAAATTTTGGTTTTGCGAAAATGATTTCACAGAGGCTATGTAAATCTCTGCAACCAACAAAAGAAGAAACTATAAATCTCTCCTGTTGACAAACAGATACTTTGAAATCATTACTTGTTGTCAATATTTTGTTCACATTTGTTGAAAAATTTCATGAAAACGAAACATTGTTGGCCACACAAACAATAATTGAGTTTGACCAATTGAATTTTCGTTCTCAGTCTCTGAATTTGTAGTTTAGTTCCACGTGAACCTAAACACGTTTCTTTATTAAAAATGCGCTTACTTTCTCCAAAGTCTTCAAGTAGTGATTGAAATAAGCGAAACACTATTCTTTGTGTGACTAATGTAAAACATTCTTGGAGGATAAAGACAACTACTTCTATAAATGTTCTCTGGTTCCTCAAAATAATTTATAAGTAGATTGATGAAACACTCTTTTTTTGCTTGGAATGATGAATTACAGATCATCACTTCTCTTGGTGCTAAGTCTTATAATAGTTTTGAATGTCGCACAAGCTGGTGGTGCTGAGAGCAAGGTAAGTTAATCTTCTTTGTTCAAGACAGCTTAAAAGAGAAACCAAACAAAACTTGTGGTTGTGTTTTGATGATAATGAAATAGGTACATATAGTGTATTTGGGTGAGAAGCAGCATGATGATCCTGAGTTTGTCACAGAATCTCATCACAAGATGTTATCGTCACTTCTTGGAAGGTAAAAAAACAAAGCTTACTTGATCAGTATTCAACACCATTATATGTCTCAAGCTGTTTCCAAAGGTTTTATCTTTGTCTCACAGTAAAGAGGAAGCACATGGTTCAATGGTGTATAGTTACAAACATGGCTTTTCAGGCTTTGCTGCCAAGCTTACCGAGTCACAGGCCAAGAAACTCGCTGGTACTCGTTGATGTCTTAGTCACACCATGTCTTAGCTTCTTAGAATTCAAACGCTGATGATATCTTCTGAAATTACTTTGATTTTTCTGAGAAAGACCAGCTTAATGCTTTATTCTGGAAACAGATTCACCTGAAGTTGTTCATGTCATACCGGATGGTTACTATGAACTTGCGACAACTAGGACTTGGGATTACTTAGGCCTTTCTGCAGCTAATCCGAAGAATCTCCTAAATGATACGAACATGGGTGATCAAATTATCATTGGCGTTATTGACACAGGTATATACAGCAGTAGTTCTCATCCCATCTGTAGAATTATTATGTTCATTTTGATTTCTTGATTTGATCGCCTCAATGACTTGTTGATTTGTGTGGTTGTAGGAGTGTGGCCAGAGTCTGAATCCTTTAATGACAATGGGGTTGGACCAGTACCGAGCCATTGGAAAGGAAAGTGTGAACCAGGACAAGACTTTAAATCAACAAATTGCAATAGAAAGCTCATAGGAGCCAAGTACTTTATCAGTGGGTTTCGTGCTGCATACGAAGGATTCAACTCCACAGAATCACCTGACTACGTTTCCGCTAGAGACTTTGACGGCCACGGCACGCATGTAGCGTCTACTGCAGGTGGTTCATTTGTTCCTAACGTGACCTACAAGGGACTCGCTGGAGGAACCTTGAGAGGCGGTGCACCTCGTGCTCGCATAGCAATGTACAAGGCCTGTTGGTATATCGTAGGCAGAGTGACTTGTCCGTTTTCTGACATCATGAAAGCAATTGACGAAGCTATACATGATGGTGTGGATGTTTTGTCAATCTCTCTCGGCGGTCGAGTTCCTCTGAATTCCGAAACCGATCTGCGTAGCGGGATTGCTATCGGAGCATTCCATGCAGTTGCAAAGGGTATTTTGGTCACTTGTTCGGGTGGTAACGATGGCCCATCAGCTCAGACCGTGGTAAACACCGCTCCTTGGATATTAACTGTTGCTGCAACCACTCTGGATCGGTCATATGCCACACCTATTACACTTGAAAGCAACAAAGTGATACTGGTAAAGCAGAGTGGATGTGTTTTCCTCTTGCAATGTTTCTGTTTCTCGTCTATATTATTACCTCTAATCAACGAAACACCATCTAATCTTGGAACTCTCTGATTACTTCAGGGTCAAGCAATGTACACAGGTCCGAAGCTTGGCTTCACTAGTTTGGTTTACCCAGAGGGTCCAGGGAACAGCAATGAGACCTTTAGCGGGTAACATTAGAATTTCAAGCTTCTTGTTCAACGAAATAACTCAGTTATCTAACATATATGTACTAACGTTTTGCAGTGTCTGTGAGAGCCTAAATCTCAACCCAAACCGTACAATGGTGGGGAAAGTTGTGCTGTGTTTCACAACAACAACACTTTTCAGTGCTGTATCAAGAGCTGCCTCTTATGTGAAGTCAGTCGGTGGTCTTGGCGTGATCATCGCAAAGAATCCAGGTTCCAATCTCAATCCATGTAGAGATGATTTCCCCTGTGTAGCCATTGATTACGAGCTCGGGACTGATGTACTTCTCTACATACGCTCCACTCGGTATGAAACTATGAATAAGTAGCACTGCCTCCGAGAAACGTAGAAGAAGTACGCAACTTTCTGAATCTTTTGGCTGGAAATTTGGTTTTGCAGATCACCTGTTGTGAAGATACAACCTTCAAGAACACTCGTTGGACAACCTGTGGGGACAAAGGTAGCATCTTTCTCATCAAGAGGACCTAACTCGATTTCCCCAGCGATTCTCAAAGTATGTCTTGATCCTAATTTTTCACACCCATCAGATTTTCTGCATCAAATGTTTACCCTTTTTTCTCGCAATGCAGCCTGACATTGGGGCACCGGGAGTGAGCATATTAGCTGCTACATCTCCAGATTCCAATTTCAGTGTTGGTGGGTTTGATATTCTCTCGGGAACATCGATGGCAGCTCCAGTTATCTCAGGGGTTGTCGCACTTCTTAAAGCTTTGCATCCTGATTGGTCTCCTGCTGCCTTTAGATCAGCTATTGTCACTACAGGTTCTTGTCAAAAGACAAACCTTGAACCTCCCAGTGGTGTTAAAACCTTAAACCTTGAACACACTGATTTCAGCAAGTGTCTTTTACTTTGCAGCTTGGAGAACAGATCCATTCGGAGAGCAGATTTTTGCAGAAGGTTCACCTCGCAAAGTAGCTGATCCGTTTGATTACGGTGGAGGGCTCGTGAACCCTGAGAAAGCTGCAGAACCCGGTCTCATTTACGACATGGGACCACAAGACTACGTTCTCTACTTGTGTTCCGCTGGTTACAACGACTCATCTATCTCTCAGCTTGTCGGTAAAAGAACAGTCTGTTCAAACCCAAAACCGTCTGTTCTTGATGTCAATTTGCCTTCGATCACCATTCCAAACCTTAAAGACGAAGTCAGTCTCACCAGAACTGTCACTAACGTTGGACCGGTTGATTCGGTTTACAAAGTCGTGGTCGAACCTCCGCTTGGGGTTCGAGTGGCTGTGACGCCGGAGACACTTATGTTCAACTCCAAAACCAAAAGCCTCTCCTTTACGGTTCGAGTCTCCACCACACACAAAATCAACACTGGATTCTACTTTGGAAGCTTAATTTGGACCGACTCTGTTCATGACGTGACTATTCCTGTCTCAGTTAGAACACAGATTCTGCAAAACTACTATGATGAGAACTAATGATTTGTGTTTTTGCTGAATAAATGTATTACTAAATAAATAAACTGTTTTTCTGTGTTAATAATAAACTTAATCATGAGTTTTAAGCAACCGCCTCAAATGTATTCCACGTCGACTTCACTCTTGAGTCTTGACCCATGTTTAATCGACGCCGAGTGACCAAGTAGTGCAATGCCACTAAACAATCATTTTATTTATAGTTATATCATCTTATAGGAGTTGTCACGGTGGCTTTATTTGCTGGTAATCTCTGTCGAATCTTGTTGATTGTATTGACTTTGAACCTTTCCTATAAACTAGAATTTAGTTGACCTTGTACAGATTTTAAAACACATTCTTTAGTTTTCAGTGTGAATAGAATATGGGGATTTAAGACCAGGAAACCATTCCAAGAAATGTAAAACATTCTTGGAATGAGACATATATATAAAATGCTTATGTAGATTGGAAAATGAAACACTCTTTTTTTCTTGATATGATGAATTTTAGATCATCCTTTCTCGTAGTACTAAGTCTGATAATAGGTTTGAATGTCGCACGACTTAGTGCTGAGAGCAAGGTAAATTGTATCTTCTTTATAAGACAGGAAAAAGAGAAACTAAGAATAGGTTATAACAAGCTTTGTGGTTGTGTTGTTGTTGATAATCAAATAGGTTCATATAGTGTATTTGGGTGAGAAGCAGCATGATGATCCGGAACTTGTCACAGAATCTCATCACCAGATGTTATCGTCACTTCTTGGCAGGTACCAATGAAAGCTTCTTGATTAGTATTTACCATATGTCTTAAAGCTCTAACCAAGAGTTTTGTTTTTGTGTGACAGTAAAGAAGATGCCCATGAGTCAATGGTGTATAGTTATCGACATGGCTTTTCAGGCTTTGCGGCTAAGCTTACCAAATCACAAGCCAAGAAACTCGCTGGTAGCCTGGTACTCATTGTTGTCTTAAGTCACACCATGTCTTTGCTTCTTAGCATTTAGTTGTCTAAGAAAGAACAGATGATTGTTTTCATTGCTGATGCAGTTTTAACTGCACACAGATTCTCCTCAAGTTGTTCATGTCATGCCTGATGGTTACTTAGAACTCACGACAACTCGAACTTGGGACTATTTGGGCCTTTCTGCTGCCAATCCGAAGAATCTCCTAAATGATACAAACATGGGTGATCAAGTTATCATTGGAGTTATTGATACAGGTTATACATCAGTAGTTTTCATCCCATTGTATCTTTAGGATCCTTAGTTGTAATGACTTTCTGGTCTGTGTGGTTTCTAGGAATGTGGCCAGAGTCTGAATCATTTAATGACAATGGGGTTGGACCAGTACCGAGCCATTGGAAAGGAAAGTGTGAACCAGGACAAAACTTCAAATCAACTAGTTGCAATAGAAAGCTCATAGGAGCCAAGTACTTCATCAATGGGTTTCTTGCTCAAAACAAAGGATTCAACTCCACAGAATCACCTGAATACATTTCCGCTAGAGACTTTGACGGCCACGGCACGCACGTAGCCTCTACCGCGGGTGGTTCATTTGTTCCTAACGTGACCTACAAGGGACTCGCTAGAGGAACCTTGAGAGGCGGTGCACCTCGTGCTCGCATAGCAATGTACAAGGCCTGTTGGTATCTTGACGAGCTAGACGGAGTGACTTGCTCATATTCTGACATCTTGAAAGCGATTGACGAAGCTATGCATGACGGTGTTGATATTCTATCAATCTCTCTCGGTGCTAGAGTTCCTCTGAGCTCTGAAACCGATCTGAGTGATGGGTTTGCTTCTGGAGCATTCCATGCGGTCGCAAAGGGCATTGTAGTTGTTTGTGCCGGTGGTAACGCTGGTCCAACAACTCAGAGTGTGTTGGATCATAACAGTGGCTGCAACTACTCTAGACCGGTCCTTTCCCACACCCATTACACTTGGGAACAACATTGTGATATTGGTAAAGCAGAGTAGATGTCTTTTTTAAACTCTTAAAAATGTTTTTTTTTTCTTTAAATCAAACAAAACACAATTTAAGCCCTTGTTTTTTGTTACTTCAGGGTCAAGCAATCTACACAGGTCCACCAGAACTAGGCTTCACTAGTTTGGTTTATCCAGGGGATCTAGAGAACAGTAATGAGGGCTTTAGTGGGTAATTAATGATATCAAAAACCTCTAGCTTCTTTCTTGCTAAGACCTCATTCTCTGATATATATCCTAATTAATGAATCTGTAACATTTTGGCAGTGTTTGTGAGTCCCTTAACCTCAACCCAAACCGTACAATGGCAGGTAAAGTTGTGTTGTGTTTTACAACTTCGAGAGCTTACGCCACTGTATCAGCAGCTGCTTCTTTTGTAAAGTCAGCAGGTGGTCTTGGCCTGATCGTCGCGAGATACCCGGGGTACACTCTCGCTCCATGCACAGATGATTTCCCCTGTGTCGCCATTGATTACGAGCTCGGGACCGATATGCTTTTCTACATACGTTCCACCGGGTAAGCAACACTTGTTTCATTTCCCTCCAAAAAAACACTGAATTAGAAGAGAGAAAAACCACCAATACCAAATTTACTCCCGAATCCAAACAGACCAAACTCATGCTTGCGGCCCTATATTTATATATATAATTTTAGCCCTTATTTAGTTAAAAATTTATCCCAAAATATATTTAGTCTAGTAGCAAATAACCTTTTTTTTTTACAAAAAATCATGAGTTTGAACTTTATACTGTATATATAAAAAATAAAAAATTAATAAAACAATGCAGTCCATTTTTAGTTTAGACTTGCGGCTTTGTTTGCAGACACATAGTAATCACAACTAATTAAGGTTTTTAGGAGCAAATAGGTATTTGAAGGTATTTTAAACATACTAAAAAGAAAGAAGTTTTTAGCAACTCCGTCGCCATTATTTTAATTAGGTATCTAAAAATTTAAAAATTAAAAATTAATGAAAAAAAAAGAAGAGAAGGGGGAATGTCTCGAGAAACATTTCTCATTTCAAACAGTCATATGTTTATATTTTATTAGTTTAGTTTTTTAATATTTAATTTTAAATTATATAATTAAATTATAATCATATAATATACTTTAGATACTCTAGTTTAGATATTTATGGATGGAGATAACCTAATGACTCATTTGGCTTGTGTCTAACTCTTATCAAACTTTGGTCTATATATTACTAAGCATAAAAAAAAATATTACATGATATATTTTTAGTTTTTTTTAAAAATTCAGTACACATCATAATGTCTAGACTTTGCTGGTTTGCAGATCACCTGTTGTGAAGATAAAACCTTCAAGAACACTCGTTGGACAACCTGTTGGGTCAAAGGTAGCAACTTTCTCATCAAGAGGGCCTAACTCGATTTCCCCGGCGATTCTAAAAGTATGGTCGAATCCTTGATTTTTTTTTTTTTTTTTTTGGAAATTAAATTTTTAACTTTTTGACCCCAAAGTATCATAAGTTTGGCCGAGTCCTGAACTTGTTTCGAAATGCAGCCTGACATAGCAGCACCAGGAGTGAGCATATTAGCTGCTACATCTCCCAATGCCAGCTTCAATTCCGGTGGATTTGTTATGCTTTCAGGAACATCAATGGCGACTCCAGCTGTTTCAGGAGTTATTGCACTTCTCAAAGCTTTGCATCCTGATTGGTCTCCTGCTGCCTTTAGATCAGCTATTGTCAGTACAGGTTCTTGTTATCTTAACCCTAAACACAGAAACAAAAGAGAAACTTGAACCCTTCTTCAACTCAAGAATCCGTCTTTACTTTGCAGCTTGGAGAACAGATCCATTCGGAGAGGAGATATCTGCAGAAGGTTCATCTCGCAAAGCAGCTGATCCGTTTGATTATGGTGGAGGCCTTGTGAACCCTGAGAAAGCTGCGGATCCAGGTCTCATATACGACATGGGACCAAAAGACTATGTTCTCTACTTATGCTCTGCTGGTTACAACGACTCATCAATCTCTCAGCTTGTTGGAAAAGTAACAGTCTGCCCAAAACCTAAACCTTCCGTTCTTGATGTCAATTTGCCTTCAATCACTATACCAAACCTCAAAGACGAAGTCACTCTCACTAGAACCGTCACTAACGTTGGACCGGTTGACTCGGTCTATAAACTCGTGGTCGAGCCTCCGCTTGGGATCCGAGTGGCTGTGACGCCCGAGACGCTAGTGTTTAACTCCAAAACTAAAAGTGTCTCCTTCACGGTTCGTGTCTTGACCACACACAAGATCAACACTAGATACTACTTCGGAAGCTTGATATGGACCGACTCTGTGCATCAGGTGACTATTCCTGTGTCTGTGAGAACACAGATTCTGCAAAACTACTATGATGAGAACTGATGATTTATGTAACTTTGTGTGTTTGTGCGAATAATAAAGCAGTAATACTTAAAAGTTGATTTGAGAATATTACTTTGTTCTCTTACTATTTCCTTATATTTTTATTTCTTCTTTCCCAAGAAACCTACGAAGATGGGATGAATATTCAATAGCAACATTAATCGTATTATTAAGCCAATCATTAAAAGAGCGACACACTTAAACGAGACAACGGAAAAAATATAGCAAAACACAATACAAAAAAAAATCAACACAAATAAAGGAATGCGTAATATGAAGGCACAAATAAAAATTAGTTCTCGTCGTAATAACGCTGCAACACCTGAGTTCTGACAGACAGAGGTATGACCACATTATGGCGAGAGTCAGTCCATGTCAAGCTTCCAAAATAATATCCAGTGTTCACTCTATGGTTCGTCAACACACGAACCTTGAATGAGAGCTTTATGGTCTTACCGTTGAACACTAATGTATTCGGTGTCACGGTCACGTTAACACCCATTGGAGCCTCAATCACAGCCTTATAAACCGAATCTACTGGTCCAACGTTGGTTACAGTTCTAGTGATAGTTACTTCTTTTCCAAGGTTTGGGATTGTGATTGAAGGCAAGTTGAGATCAAGAACCGAAGGTCTAGGGTTTGCACAAGTAGTCTTCTTACTGACGAGTCTACTAATAGATGAATCCGTGTAACCAATAGAGCACAAGTAAAGAACGTAATCGTTGACTCCCATGTCGTAAACAAGACCCGGTTTCGCGGCTTTCTCTGAATTCACAAGTCCTCCTCCGTAGTCAAATGGATCAGCTAATTTGCGGTTTGACCCGTCTGCAAAAATGGGTTCACCGGATGGATCGGTTCTCCAAGCTGTAGTAACAATGGCGGATCTAATAGCGGCAGGAGACCAGTGAGGGTGTAAAGACTTAAGGAGTGCTACAATCCCTGACACAATAGGAGTCGACATCGATGTTCCTGACTTCATAGTGAATCCTTTGTCGTTGAATACATCGTTTGGGGAAGTAGCTGCGAGTATGTTCACTCCAGGTGCTGCAATATCAGGCTGCGTCGGAAAAAATAAAACAGAACAACATTATAAAAAAAAATCTAGATGAAACTTCAGTCACAAGTAACTACATGAAACTCACAAATCCCACGACTACATTTTATCGATTGTTTTCTTGAATATAGTTCTTATTTACAATAATGACAATAATTAAAACTTAAACCTAACTTATAATATAATGACAATAATTAAAACTTAAACCTAACTTATAATGCAATCAAATATGTTCAAAACAAGATCTAGTAGATTTTAGGGTTTATAGTTTAGGTTTGATCAAAAACCTAGAATCTAGTAGAGTTTAGGGTTTTTATCTGAATTTACCTTAAGAATTGCAGGAGAGATGGAACTAGGTCCTCTCGATGAGAAAGTCGCGACCTTTGTAGCCACAGGGAGTCCAACCAACGTTCTTGTAGGTTGAATCTTGGCGACAGGTGACCTAAAAAACATACACCATTTGATACATAAAATCAATATCAAGAATTAGGTTACAACTTGATGAAGATACGTAGATGTATATATAAGATACCTAGTGGAACGTATGTAGAAGAGTATATCGGTTCCGAGTTCGTAATCTACAGCGAGACACGGGACAGCGCCGCAAGTACCAAGCTGATGGCCCGGATTTTTTGCAACGATCACACCATAGCCTCCAAGCTTTTGTACATTAGATGCAGCATTCAACACGGTACCGTAATCCGTAGATGTTGTGAAACACAAGACAAATTTGTCTTTAATTATACGAGCTGGATTTTCTGAAAGCTCTTCGCAGACTCTGCAAATATAATATAAAAAAGATTTGGTCTCATCAGGAACTAAACGTTGGAAAAGAAGGTCGAACCTTCACCACAGAAAAAAATTAGGTTTGTTGGAAAGTTCCGACGAATTCTGAGAGTTATCTGATGATTTTTTGATAAAACTTAAAAAAAAAAAAATTAAAATATTTTCAATGAATTTCCGGAAAAAGTTAGTTTGACGTGTTTAAATTTTTGTCTTTTATATTAATCAGAAATTTCCAACGAATTTCTAAAAAACCGATAAAAAAAACGTTTCAACGAATTTTCAAATTTCAGATTCCCCAAACTTGAATTCCGATGACTCTTCGTTGAAAGAAGTGTGTTTTTTTTTATAGTGCTTGCAAAAGAGAAGACTAGAGACTTGAAAATTACCCGGAAAATGTCTCATTGCTTGCTTCTGGACCTTCAGGGTAAACCAGACCGATGAAATCCACATCTACATCTTGATACATGGCTTGACTCTAAAATTCAAAGAAGTTGAAGGTTAAAGATATGAAAGAATCGTTCTTTTCTTTGTTTTTTTTTGACTAGTTTAAAGCTTACCACAATTGTAACATTGTTGCCAAGTGTAATAAGTGTGGGAAAAGACCGATCTTGAGTGGTTGCAGCAACGGTAATGACCCAAGGAGCCGTGTTGGTTACGGTTTGAGAAGCCGGACCCGTGTTACCGGCGGCACACACGACAGGAATCCCCTTGGCAACCGCGTGAAACGCTCCAACCGCCACAGGGTTTCGAGTGTCAACTTCCGGAAAGAGGGGTGGAAATGAGAGCGAGAGAGACAAAACGTCTACACCGTCGTGAATCGCTTCGTCCATCGCTTTCAACAAATCTGCCGCCGAACAACCCGCCGTTCCGCTAGTGGACGAGTGCCAACAAGCCTTGTACATAGCTATACGGGCCTTAGGCGCTCCGCCTCTAGCGATTCCTCTCCCGAGAGTTAAGTAGCTCGCGTCCGGGACGAATGAGCCAGCAGCGGTTGCAGCCACGTGGGTCCCGTGACCGTTGAAGTCTCTAGGTGAGACGTATTCTGGATCCTCCGTGGTGTCCAAGTTGCTTTCATCCGCGCCGTTGAGTAGGCCACTGGCGAAGTATTTGGCGCCAATCAGTTTTCTGTTACAAACGGTTGAGCCGTTGAAACTCTGTTTTGACTCGCAACTTCCTTTCCAACTTTTTGGTATTGGTCCAAGACCATTGTCATTGAATGATTCTGACTCTGGCCATATTCCTATAAAACAAACCAAATTTTAACAAAAATCTAAAACCTTTTAAGAAAAACTTTAAGAAATAAGAAGGATTCAGTTTAGTAAAAATACCAGAATCAATCACACCAATGATGACTTTGTCTCCCATGTTCGTTTGGTTTAGGAGATTATTTGGATGTGTTGAAGTATGTTTTAAGTAATCCCAAGTCCTAGTTGTCTGCAATTCGTAGATTTGATCGCGTATGACATGAACAACTTCAGGTAACTCTGTTTTTCACAATATAAAAGATTGCATTTAGCCATAATTAAAAATCAAACAAGAAATGTCCCAAATCTCATATCCGAATCAATCAATCTTTGTTATTAATTATAAGTAAGTAGTACCTGAGAGTTGATTCACTTGGGAATCAGTTAGCTTGGCTGCGAAAGCTGAGAAGCCATGGCGATAACTATACACCATTGAATCATGTGCAGCTTCTTTGCTGTGATGTCACAATAAGTAAAATGAGTTTAAAAGTTTGGATATGGTTTTGGTCAAACTTGGTAAATTTAAGAAATTGTTACCTTCCGAGGATTGACCAAAGCATCTGATGATGAGACTCGGTGGCTGATTCAGGATCATCTTGTTGTCTCTCACCAAGATAAACTATGTGAACCTATCAAAATCATCAAACAAGGCATAGCAAGCTTAGATAACTTCTTGAATAGGAATTCATATCTAGGATTCAAGAAAAATTTGTAGTACCATAGTCGTCTCAGCAGCAATGTTCAGAGTAAGCATTAGACAAATAGCCACAAGAATGGGTATTCTCTTCATTTTCGATTCCATTAGAGAGAGAGAATGTAATGTAATGTAACTTATTTGAGGATACATGTGGAAGAATGAAAGGTATATATAGATTGAGGTTATATTCATGTTTGTACATAAAATTGAGTTCTTTTAGGCTCACATTGTTTGAACTTTGAAATATTGAATCCTTATGGGTTTCTCTGATTATGATTATAATATGAATATATTAGTCTAAGGTTGTATATAATGAGCACTTTTTCATCGAAACTATATAATTAGTTTATTTGAAAATGCAGCCTCTTATTAAGACCCTTTCTCTCTTTAGATGAGAGGAACCACATAAGAAAGTCTCTCCATTTAGTCTCAAGAGTCAAGAACTACACTCAATGGACATTTTATTTCTTAAGCAAATTTTCTTCTACAATTAGTTTGAAATTTTTATATCCCAGTGACTTTATGTGCCTTACACGGAGAAATGAAGCCGCCTGTGTTTTTTTTTTTGTGTGTGGAAGAACTGTTTTTTCCATTTAAAACGTTTACAGTAGACAATAGTCAACCATAATTAAAATCGCTACGGAAAAATTTGAATCAAAGTCCCTAAACTGTCAAGACAATCTTCAACCACTACCGCCATGACTTGGTAATTTTATTTTGGTTCCATTTTGATATATAATTTTTCGTGGAAATAAAATAATTTGTAGTTGGTAAAGCTAAAAAAAGGAGTATACGCGTTTTAAACTTCTGAAAATTACGAATCGGGGCCTTATCACTCTGATGTTTCCATGAATGCGATATTTTTTATGAATGTGATACTTCAAATGATAGAAATGGAAACTTATTTGTCAACCATAACATTTGGCCAAACACACCATAGCAGTTATTCTTATTTTGCTTGTGGAACCCCTTGAATCATGGTCTCTCAACTTTTCAGGACAAACTCTTCGACCACTACCACCACGAGTTGGTTATTTTATCTTGATTCCATTTTGAAATGTAACTGTTCATTGAAACAAATTATTCTTTGATGATCAAGCTTAAAAAGGAGTATATAATCACTCTGGCTGATGTTTCCATGAATTTGTTAGATACTTTCTTCTCTTGTTTAACTCTTAAGACGAATGTAATCTTGAATTGATACAAATGGAAACATCATTGTCAATCATAACATTTAACCAATATACACCATACAAAACTATGTTGTTTTGCATGGGTGTCACAAATCGTTTTCTTTATCCAAAGAAAGAAACAAGATGTAGGATCAAAACTTTGTAGCACTACATAAAGAAGCAATTGAACAGTGATAATAGATAAACGTTAAGGAAGAGAGCAAGAACAAGTGGAGGCGAGATTATTGATCTCTATCCTTAACTCTTTGAATCACCCGCAGTGCCACGGGATTCTGAGAAACAAGAGTCCCAGGATACAACCACTTAATCCGTTTTCGCAAGCACTCGAAACACGGATCTATCGAACTTAATAACTACGATACTCTCGAAATAAACTTACTTTAGACTAAGAGAGATTGCTGAAAATTCGCTTAAGAAAATGATTTTTGTGAGCGTGAAAGAAAAGAGAAGAGCTACCGCCTTTTTATAGCAGACCAGCAGATCTTCGATTTGAATTGAATCAAACCCGAATCAAGGAGAAGTTGGCGACGTGATCTTGCCACAATCTCGCAACAGAGACCGAGTCTCGCGGAAGAGATGGAGAAGACGAGAAACAGAAAAAGAACTTTACTTTTGTTTTCTTTGTCAAATCTTTCCCGAGTATCCCAACCCAAGTAACACACGTTTGGGCCTATGTCCATTTCTTTTCACATTCACGTTTTTTAATAAAGCCCAATGGGCTAATTAAAATTCGTTCCAACAATCCCCCACATGAATAGAAATGACTCTAAACATACGAAAGACTTGACAACTCGATAAACTTGACACGACTTTACTAGACTAGACACGACTTGACTAGACTTAGACAGACTTTCGAGAGTATACGAAAATGTTGCTATGTCTTAGAGGTAGCATTTTTCAGCTTTGAACCAATCATTTTTAATATCTGTCGGGTTTACTTGGCCAGGAGGTGAACATGATGTCTTGAACCACCCGGATTTTAATGTAGACCTAGACAACAGTTATCGCGTAGCGACATTTTCTCGTAGAACTTAGTTCTCTATTGTGTTCATTTTGGCCTTGAACATTTCGTGGTTATTCATGAGTGAACTTAGAGAATATAGCCTCACTTTCATTCTCCTGGAAACGGCTCCATTTCACACTCACTAGGTGACTTGCCATTAACTTTATTTTTAGAAGCATCCTGTAATACTCCATGAATATTTTAAAGTTACGGAATCATTAAAAGCCAACGCTTAACCTAATCGCACACAGGTAACACTGCTTATCATCTTAGGAACTGGATTTAGACATAGTCTCACAGTGCACAGTTCTCAATTAGCATGATTTCGTTATCCCTTTGAACCTAGATCTTGGGATCTCCAGTCACATAGGTGGGATGTCCATCATGCGTCATCTTTGGTTATAGGCTTTAAACCCATTCCTCTTGATGATTTAACAACTTGATCTCGCGGCAAACTTTTAGTGAATGGATCTGCTAAGTTTTCTGCCGATTTAATGTAATCTATCGTGAGTACACCGGTTGAAATCAATTGTCTAATGGTCTTGTGTCTCCTTCTAATATGCCGAGATTTACCATTGTATAAATTACTCAGTGCCCGTGATATAGCCGATTGACTATCACAGTGTACACGTAATGCGGGCACTGGTTTTTCCCACATCGGAATATCTTCTAGGAAGTTTCGAAGCCACTCAGCTTCTTCTGCAGCTTTATCTAAAGCTATGAACTCCGACTCCACGGTTGATCTTGCCAGGAGAGTTTGTTTAGAAGATTTCCAGGATACTGCTCCACCACCGAGCGTAAATACATATCCACTTGTGGATTTCGAGTTTTTGGAATCCGAAATCCAGTTGGCATCACTATAGCCTTCCAAGACTGCTGGTTCTTTGCCATAATGTAGCCCATAATTTTTAGTATATCGAACATAGTTTAATACCCTAGTTATGGCCTTCCAATGAGTATGACCTGGGTTATGCGTATAACGACTTAGTACATTTACTGAATGCGCCAAATCAGGTCTTGTACAGTTTGTTAAATACATAAGACTTCCGATCACTCTTGCGTATTCCACTTGCGATACTGGTTCACCTGAATTTTTTGTCAAATGAAGGTGAGGATCCAGCGGAGTTTTTGCAGTTCCATTTGAGTAGTTCTTAAACCGCTCAAGAACCTTTTCAGCATAGTGATCTTGAGACAAGATTATCCCGTCACTATGTCTAGTGATTTTAATCCCTAGAATCACATCGGCTAATCCCATGTCTTTCATATCAAAATTTCCACTAAGCATGTCCTTAGTTTGTTTGATTATATCTTTATTGCTTCCTATAATGAGCATGTCATCGACATATAAACACAATAAAATGTATCCATCTGGATTACTTTTAATGTATATGCATTTATCACATTCATTGATATTGAAGCCGTTTGACATCATTACGTTGTCAAATTTCTCATGCCATTGTTTAGGGGCTTGTTTTAGTCCGTACAAAGACTTTACAAGTCTACAAACTTTGTTTTCTTGCCCAGGAGCAATGAACCCTTCAGATTGTTTCATGTAAATTTCTTCTTCTAAATCTCCGTTTAGAAATGCCGTTTTTACATCCATTTGATGGATTTCTAAGTCTCTTAAAGCTGCAATACCTACTAACATTCTTATTGATGTTATTCTCGTTACCGGAGAGTAGGTATCAAAGAAATCCAAACCTTCTTTTTGGTGGAATCCTTGCACCACAAGCCTAGCCTTGTATTTGTCTACCGATCCATCTACTTTTAATTTTTGTTTGAAAATCCATTTGCACCCTAGGGCTTTGCACCCTTGCGGTAGATCGGTGATCTCATATGTGTTATTTTGCCTAATGGAATCCATCTCACAGTTGACGGCTTCTTCCCAAGAAGGCCCGTCAGGTGTAAACATGGCTTCCTTGTAGGTTCTTGGTTCATTCTCCGTAAGAAATGCAATTAAGAATTCAGAGCCAAACGTTTTCTCTTTACGAGATCTTTTGCTCCGTCTAGGTTCTTCTTCTTCTTCTTCATCATCATTCATAGCAGTGCCTGAGCTGCTTGCCTCGTTTCCAGAGGTGCTTGCGTCTCGTTGGTCACGAGTTTGTTTATTGCTTTCTTGATTTTTGCATGGAAACACGTTTTCAAAGAATGAAGCATTCCTTGACTCCATTATGGTGTTCACATGAATATCTGGTGTATCCGACTTATGTACCAGAAACCGATAGGCACTACTATTATGCGCATATCCGATGAAAATGCAATCTACCGTCTTCGGTCCTATTGTGACCTTTTTCGGAGGTGGTACGGCAACTTTTGCTAAGCACCCCCACACTTTCAAGTATTTATACGAAGGCACACTACCTTTCCAAAGCTCATACGGAGTTTTTCCCGTTACTTTATGCGGTATTTTGTTCAGGATGTAATTTGTGGTAAGTGGCGCTTCCCCCCACATGTTCTGGACTAATCCAGATTCCTGCAGCATTGCATTCATCATTTCCTTAAGAGTTCGGATTTTTTGTTCCGCAACTCCGTTGGATTCTGGTGAGTAGGGAGCAGTAGTTTGATGAATAATGCCATGTTCCCTACAAAATGCATTAAACGGTTCATCATAATCCCCTCCTCTATCACTTCTAACTATTTTAATAGTTTTGTTAAGTTGATTCTCGACTTCCAACTTATATTCTTTAAATTTTTCCAAAGCCTCATCTTTACTGTGTAGTAAATATACATAACAGTATCTGGTGCTATCATCTATAAATGTTACAAAATATTTTTTTTCACCTCTACTTTGTACATATTTTAAATCACATAAATCGGTGTGAATTAAACCCAAAGGTTCTGTTGTTCTTTCTACACTTGGTGATGGTGTTTTAGTTAATTTTGCTTGAACGCAAATCTCGCATTTGTCTTTACTTAACTTTTGTTTTGGAATCAAATTCATGTTCATTAATCTACTCATAGATTTAAAATTTACGTGACCCAAGCGTTCATGCCATAAATTAAATGATTCCACAACGTAAGCAAATGGTTCCTTCTTATTATTCTTCTTCGAGGTTGAAGCCTCGGTTACATCATTGTTACGATCACAGACTCAACCGAGATCTTAAACAGACCATCACAAACAAACCCTTTGCCCAGAAACATCCCATGCTTGGATAGCACCAGCTTATCCGCATCTATCTTAACCGTAAACCCATGCTTACTAAGGAGAGATCCCGAAATGAGATTCTTACGCATGTCCGGAACATGGACCACGTTAGTCAAGGTGATCTCACGACCAGAAGTAAGCTTCAGAACAATTTTACCATAACCTTCAATCTTTGACGTTGCCGAGTTCCCTATGAAGAGTTGTTCGTTGCTCTTGTTCTTGTTGTAGGAGGAGAACATCGACCTCTCCAAACAGATATGTCGTGTTGCACCGGTGTCAAACCACCAAGTCTTTGGGTGGCTTTCTGCAACATTAGCCTCCGTGACAACAGCACACAAGTCAGCTTCCGTGAGGTTAGCTTCATTGTTGACTCCGTTTTTCTTTGGGGCTTTCTTGCTACAGCATTCAAACGACTTATGCCCCTTCTTGCCGCAGTTGTGACAGCTTCCTAGGAAGTTCTGTGAGCTCTCACCACTTTTCTTCTTGAATTTCTGGGAATTCTGAGGTGCCACTTTGTCTTTCCCTTTGTCTTGGCTTCCTTTGTTCTGCCACTTTCCTTGCTTGTTGCTGTTTTGGTGCTCAACTATATTCGCGTTGGGTTCGCGAATCTCCACACCTACGCCAACATGTCTCCGGTTCGTTGATTCAATACGAAGTCGCACAATCAAGTCTTCAAGACTCATCCACTTCCTCTTCAGCTTGAGGTAATTTTTGAAGTCCACCCAGCCTGGTGGTAGCTTTTCAATCATACATGCCACTTGATAAGTCTCACATAGCCTCATTCCTTCAGCATGTATCTCGTGGAGGAGATTATGTAACTCTTCGACTTGTTCCATTAACGGCCGAGAGTCCACCATTTTGTAATCTTGAAACTTCGCCACTGCATATTTCTGCGATCCTGCATCCTCCGTGCGATATTTCTTGTCCAGCGAATCCCATAGCTCCTTAGAGGTTTCAAAGTTGCAGTACACATTGTACAGTGGGTCGGTGAGACGGCTTTGGATATATCCTTTGCAAAGGAAATCACCATGATTCCAGGAGTGTACGCTTGCAAGTGCACGAGGATCTGTGTTGTCTGACGGAAGCACTGGTTTCTCTTCACTGGTGTATTTTTCCAGCTTCAAAGTTGTTAAGTAGAAGAACATTTTCTTCTGCCACATCTTGAAAGAGCTTCCATCATACTTGTCCGGAAGGAGGCCTGCTGAACTTGTAGCAGGAATTTGCACTGCTGAGAACTGATCGGAGGCTGCAGTTTGCATGATTCCAGGGATCGCCACTGTCACAGGAGGAAGAGTACCGAACTGCACTTGTTGTGTCTCTTCGACTCCAGTCCCTTTGGTTGTGTTCTCAGTCCCTTTGGTGATGTTCTCAGGCCCTTTGGTAGAGTTCTCATCATCAACAATGTTGGAAACGTTGGTGGTTTCGTTAACTATTTTTTTTTTTTTTTTTAAAACGAAAACCAAATCAGACACCAATTAGAAACAAGAATGACAATTCAAATATTCAATATATAAACCTGTCACTAGGCAAAAGAATTTGAATACGAGATGTTCAACTAATTGTCTCAGTTCAGATATATAATATCAAACACGTAATTAAACAGGACTTAAGAATCTCAATTCAGATTATCACAATAATCACAAAATCAATATCAAAGAATTTCAATTCTCAATTCTGATAATCACAACGTCAATACCCAAGTATCTCAATTCAATATCAACACTCAATAATCTCAATTCAAATAAGCAATGTCAATACACGTAACTTGATAAAGTTTGAATATGAGATATTAACGTTTCTCACTCTAAGAATCGCAATTCAGATAGAGATAACAATACACAGTTTAGAATAACAATTCAAACACTATAATTCATTAACTTAGAACCGCAGCTCTTTTAATGTTATTGACGTTCGCAAACGTTCAACAATCTCTTCTACTCAGTACAAGACAATCACAGAAACGTTTGTGACAACGTCGCGGAACAAGCTTGAGCTGAGTTTAAGCTTAATCTTATCACTATTCAACTCGTTAGATGTTTATAGAACACCAACGGATTCAAAGAGTTAAGAATGTAGGACCAAAACTTTGTAGCACTACGTAAAAAAGCAATTGAACAGCGATAATAGATAAACGTTAAGGAAGAGAGCAAGAACAAGTGGAGGCGAGATTATTGATCTCTATCTTTAACTCTTTGAATCACCCGCAGTGCCATGGGATTTTGAGAAACAAGAGTCCCAGGATACAACCACTTAATCCGTTTTTGCAAACACTCGAAACACGGATCTATCGAACTTAATAACTACGATACTCTCGAAATAAACTTACTTTAGACTAAGAGAGATTGCTGGAAATTCGCTTAAGAAAATGATTTTTGTGAGCGTGAAAGAAAAGAGAAGAGCTATCGCTTTTTTATAGCAGACCAGCAGATCTTCGATTTGAATTGAATCAAGGAGAAGTTAGCGACGTGATCTTGCCACAATCTCGCAACAGAGACCGAGTCTCACGGAAGAGATGGAGAAGACGAGAAACAGAAAAGAACTTTACTTTTGTTTTCTTCGTCAAATCTTTCCCGAGTATCCCAACCCAAGTAACACACGTTTGGGCCTATGTCCATTTCTTTTCACATTCACGTTTTTTAATAAAGCCCAATGGGCTAATTAAAATTCGTTCCAACACAAGACTCTATGATCAATCAAGATATAACGGTATTCAAGCATTGATTTGAAGTTCAAATCTTATCCAGGATATCCCATATCCGTTTCATCATTTTATGAAATCCCTAATTTTTCCCTTAAAACCTAATCATCTCCGCATTTGCCTCGGTGACTAATTTTCTTTATGATTTTGATAACTTCTTTCCCAAGAAACTGAGAAATAAGCTTTTAGTATAAGGAATGAATACTAAACATCAGATCATACGCAAGATAATTAACAATCACAGTGATCAACTAAACAGGGAATTTATAATAAAATAAATAAAGGAATGCAGAATCTGAAGTTATTGGCGCGAGATGTTTGTATTTATACAAAGATCTAGTCAGTTCTCGTCATAATAACGCTGCAAGATCTGAGTTCTGATAGACACAGGGATGATCACATTATGCACAGAGTCAGTCCAGGTCAAGCTTCCAAAATAGTAACCAGTGTTTACTCTATGGTTCGTCAATACTCTAACCTTGAATGAGAGCTTCTTGGTCTTAGCGTTGAACACTAATGTCCTCGGTCTCACCGTCACGTTTACACCCATCCGAGCCTCAATTACAGCTTTATAAACCGATTGTACTGGTCCAACGTTGGTAACAGTTCTAGTGATAGTTACTTCTTTTCCAAGGTTTGGGAGTGTTATTGAAGGCAAGTTGAGATCAAGAACAGAAGGTTTAGGGTTTGCACAAACCGTCTTCTTGCGGACAAGTCTAGTAATGGATGAATCCGTGTAACCAACAGAGCACAAGTAGAGAACATAATCGTTGACTCCCATATCGTAAACAAGACCGGGTTTTGCGGCTTTCGCTGAGTTCACAACGCCTCCTCCGTAGTCAAATGGATCAGCTAATTTGCGGTTTGACCCGTCTGCAAAAATGGGTTCACCTGATGGGTCTGTTCTCCAAGCTGTAGTGACAATGGCGGATCTAATAGCGGCAGGAGACCAATGAGGGTGGAGAGACTTAAGGAGTGCTACTATTCCTGCAACAACAGGAGTAGGCATCGATGTTCCTGATTTCATAGTGAATCCTCTGTCGTAGAATGTATCATTTGGAGAAGTAGCTGCGAGTATGTTCACTCCAGGTGCTGCAATATCAGGCTGTATCATAGAATACAATCAGTCTTAAGATTAATTAAAAGAAATTAGATGAAACTTCAGTCAAAAGTAACTACATGCAACTTACAAATCCTGGGAATACATTTTCTTGATTATTTTCTTGGACATACTTCTTGTATACACGTATATTTAGAACACACAAAACCTTAACTTATCTGATAAAGCCAAAAATTTATGCTCAAAGAAACTATTTTAGTTTAGGGTTTAAAGTTTAGGATTTATCAAATAGAACGCATCAGTAAAATTTTGAGTTGATCAGAAACAAAGCGACAGTAGAAACTTCAGACACAAGTAACTACATGAAACTCACAAATCGTAGGACTACATTATATTGATTGATATATATTGAGAATATATAAAACTTAAATTTAACATATGAAGCAGCCAAAAATGTTTAAAAAATCTAGTAGAGTTTTGGGATTTAAGTTTAGGTTTTATCAAAAAACCGAGAATCTAGTAGCGTTTAGGGTTTTATCAGAAACAAAGAATCAAGTAGCTAGGTCTGAATTTACCTTGAGAATTGCAGGAGAGATGGAACTAGGTCCTCTCGATGAGAAAGTCGCGACCTTTGTTGCCACAGGGAGTCCAGCCAACGTTCTTGTTGGTTGAATCTTAGCGACAGGTGACCTAAAAAACCAACCAATTGAGTTACAAAATCCAGATCAATGATTAGGTTAGGTTACAACTTGATAAAAACACGTATGTAGGTCTATAATATACCTAGTGGAACGTATGTAGAAGAGTATATCGGTTCCAAGTTCGTAATCTACAGCGAGACAAGAGAAACTGTAGCATTCGTATCCGAGAAAATGTGGAATGATCGTACCGGACAGGGCATTGTCCGAGGGATGATCGAGCCAAGGATCAGATACTGGCTGGAAAATGGAGGTTTGGACTATGGTCGGGTGTTGACCGGTGAAATAGTCGGATGTGGGCTGGATAGCCGAGCCGGATGGACCATATCCGAGGGAAAACAGGATCCAGTCCGAGGAAAATGGGATTTATACGAGTGCAGTGGGATATATCCGAGAGTCTGGGAGGTTAGTCCGAGTGTCAGTGGACTGTCTCCGAGGGGGAATAGGAAACCTCCGAGAGAAATAGAGGATTAGCCGAGGTGGGACAAGTTGTCCTGGAGAAATAGGAATATCCGGATGAAAAATGGAAAACACCTCGGATAAGGGCGGTTTATCCGAGTGGGAAGGGATTTGGGTGGCCAAGTGTTTGGTCGGCTATTTTGGGATTTATCGAGTGGATGGTCGAGCCGGTACAGGAAATAGCCGAGGAAAATCGAATCGGACCGGGATAATCCTACTGGAACCAGGAAAACATCGGATAAGTCCGGGTTACCTAGGGTTTTGCGAGTATATAAGGGAATTTGAGACTTAACTCGAGGGTGTTGCGTTTATTTGAGCTAAATAAAGCAAAGAGAGAGTTTAGTCAAGAGAAAACCCTAAGAAAAACAGTTTATCCCGAGGACATCCGAGAGAGATCAGGCTATCACCGAGCAAAAAAAACCGATCATCGCCAAGATAAACTGGTAAGCGATCAAATATTTCCCTAAGTGTTGAGTTTTCATCGGATAACCTCGAGCTAATAGCCTTGTTTTGTGGGGTTTCTGAGGGAAAACAGAGTTTGGCTCAAAGAAAGGTGAACAGATCAAGAGATAGCCGAGGGGATAAGGATCGGATCGTACCGTGAGCCGAGAGATCGGATATCTTCGTTTTGGTGCAGTTTTCATCGGGATTTCTTCTGACCAATCTGTTTCTAGCCTTTTCTAAGGTGAGTGCGTGACTGTGGTTGGGTCTAGGACCGTAGGATTGCTTGAGTGTTTTGCATGTTGATTGTATGATTTTCATGTTATGTGTTTGGAATTGATAAGCAATCCTTATGTTGTGATATATTGTGGTGTTTACCGTGGCATGTATGATGTTTAGCTAACCTCAGGGTAATCCGGATCATGTACTAGCTTAGGGATGTGGGATTCTCGCTGAAGTAGACATGGGTCTTAAAAAGGGATTGATCTTGGTTGGTTAGGCTAGATGATCATGGCCGTTTGATATGGCTATGTCTATTGCAAATTGATTGTGTTGAATGTTGAATCCGAAAGTATGACTGCGTGTTTTGGTACTGACCAGGTGTTACGGGATGATCGTACTCACTAAATATTTGTGAAATACTTATGCCTCTCATTTTGAGTGTGCAGGTACTAAGCAGTAAGGGGCGAGACCAGGCAGCAGTGATGGATATGGATGGATCGGGACTTGGTTTTATTTGTGTTAAGACTTGTGTTTAGAGTCTTATGGCTTTGATGTTTGACCGTTTAGGTTGCTAGATGATTGGTTGTAATCGTTAGTGAACCATGTGATTTGATTTATGTGGAACCCCGAATCTGTTTAAGTATTTTTGAGAGTTAAATGAATGAAATGAGTTATTTATATTCCGCTGTGTATTGATAAGAAAGACTTAGAAAAATAAAGAAAAATTTCGAAAATATGGCTAAGTATAGAAACGGACTTAGAGGATGTAGTGGGACACAGCCGCGGTACGGTTTACTGGGTTGGGTTACCACAAGTTGGTATCAGAGCGTTTTAACGCTTCTAGGACTGAAATTGGTGACTGCTGTGGTTTGTTTGTTTGTTTGGGGTTTATGGGGGTCCGATCCATTCTTCACTGCCAAGGTCTCGCGGTAAGTTGTTGTGTGGTGTTGTGAAACACGTTTTGAGTTAGCTTCGGCTAACTGGCATTGTGTACTTGCAGATGGTTGATACCAGAAGAGCCGTGAGAATTAATGGGGACAACCAGGCTGCGGGGTCTGTGAACTCAGTCAACGGTGATGTTGCTGAGAGGGCTAGGGAAGCCGAGAGACAGGCAGCTGCGGTTGCGAATGAGGCGGCTAGAGTGGCAGCCGTGGAAGCAGCAAGGAATGCTGCGGAAGCTGAGAACGTGGCTAGGAATGCTGCGGGTGCAGCTGGGGTTGCTGCGAATATAGCACCAGTGGGGTTAGAGGCTGTGCTTTGGATGTTAGCACAGGTACTAGCTAGGCTACCTGCGGTGGCTCCTGCTCTGGCGGTTGCAGCAGCACCACATGTAGTACCACCAGTGGGGGTTCACGCGGATGTGGTTGAGGAGGAACGGACCATGTGGAGAGGGTTCCGAGTTACCTCAAGGTTTTGGATCACATGGTGCGGTTGGGAACCAAGTTCTTTGCTGGAGGTTCTACACCGATTGAGGCAGATGAGTGGAGGATGAGACTGGAACGGAATTTTGAGTCTATCCGATGTCCAGAGGGTTACAAGAGGGACATAGCAGTGCACTACTTGGAGGGTGATGCACACACGTGGTGGAAAGGAATTGTTGGAAGGCTGGTGAACGAGAACTGCTCTTATGAGACATTTTCAGCAATGTTCAGGATTAAGTACTTCCCACAGGAAGCTTACAACGAGTTGGAGAAGGCGTTTCTGTACCTTAGACAGGGGACGCTTACAGTGAGGCAGTATGAGACTCAGTTTAATCAGCTGAGGAAGTATGTGTCTCATGAGTTTGACACGGAGGAGAAGCTGATTCGCAGGTTTATGAGTGGACTGCGAGTTGAGCTAAGGAATGGGTGTGTGGTTCGTGACTTCAGGACAGTTGCTGAGCTTGTTGAGAAGGCGGCATTATTGGAGTCAGGACAGGCGGAAGCTGCGTTGATGTCAGCTGGGGCTAGTACAGCCGTGACCAAGGCGGGTCAGTCTAGTGGACAGAACCGGAAGTTTGGGAAAGGAGTACCGAACAAAGGATCTGGGGGATGCAGCGTGTGCAGCAAGTGTGGCAAGGCTCACGTTGGCGAGTGAAGGCGCGGTGGTAGTGGATGCCACAGGTGCGGGATTTTAGAGCATCGGATACGAGACTGTCCGGAGGAGGATCAACGTGTGGTCCGTGTGTCCGGCAGTGATGGTGCGGTTCGGGTTTGCTATGGTTGTGGAGAACCAGGGCATTTCAAGCGTGAGTGTCCTAAGGTAGGAGTGGTGGAGCAGGCCGTGGCTCAAGGGAAGAGAGCAGGGGAGGCGCTTGCATCACAGGCCAAGAGACAGGCCATTATGCCGAGGGTGTACACGACGAGTGCAGCAGCAGCCGAGGAACCAAGCACTTCTCATCCAATTACTGGTACGTGTGGTACTTAGTATTTTCTAAACTTGCCTTGTGTGTTGTTGTGTGTTAGTATAGAGTCTTAGCATTCTAGAGAATGAATGTGTAGGGACCTTGATAATGGGTGAGGTTGAAACCCATGTTCTGTTTGACTCGGGAGCGAGTCATTGTTTTGTTAATCCAGACATGATCGGAAAGGGTCAGTTCCAGAAGGAACCCGGAGAGGACTTTGGGTTAGTTCAGGCGGCTGGAGGCCAAGTGATGTTTTCACTAGGAACGGTTAAGAATGTTCCAGTGATGTTTGGCGAAGTGAACATGCCAGCGGATCTAGTGATCTGTAGGGTTAAGTCCTACGATGTCATTTTGGGAATGGACTGGTTAGGCAAGCACAGAGCTCACTTGGATTGTCACCGTGGAAGGGTGCGGTTTGAGAGAGAAGGAGAGGTCTTGGTTTATCAGGGAGTTAGACCAACCTCAGGAAGTTTGGTGGTTTCAGCTATTCAGGCAGAACGGCTGATAGAGAAAGGTTGTGAGGCGTATCTAGCAACAATAACTACTATAGAAGGAGGGCCGGATGTAGACTTAGGCAGTATACCGGTGGTGCAAGAATTTGAGGATGTTTTTCAGGCGTTGGCAGGACTGCCACCAGCTCGTTCAGATCCATTCACGATTGAACTTGAGCCGGGGACAGCTCCATTGTCTAAAGTACCATACCGGATGGCGCCAGCAGAGATGGCTGAACTGAAGAAGCAGCTAACGGAGTTGTTGGACAAAGGCTTCATTAGACCTAGTAGTTCACCGTGGGGAGCACCAGTGTTGTTCGTGAAGAAGAAGGATGGGAGCTTCAGGCTTTGCATTGATTACCGCGGATTGAACCGTGTGACCGTGAAGAACAAGTATCCACTTCCCAGGATAGACGAGTTGTTGGACCAACTCAGGGGAGCTACTTGGTTCTCTAAGATCGATTTGGCATCGGGGTACCATCAAATACCCATAGAGGAGACAGACGTGCGTAAGACTGCCTTTAGGACAAGGTATGGTCATTACGAGTTTGTGGTCATGCCATTTGGTTTGACGAATGCGCCAGCTGCATTCATGAAGTTGATGAATGGCGTATTCAGAGAGTACCTAGATGAGTTTGTGATTATTTTCATAGATGATATCCTAGTATACTCTAAGGATGAGGAAGAGCATAAGAGTCATTTGCGGACTGTTCTGGAGAAGTTGAGGGAACAGAAGTTATATGCCAAGCTCAGTAAGTGTAGCTTTTGGCAACGGCATATAGGGTTCTTGGGTCATATTGTTTCGGATAAGGGAGTGTCCGTGGACCCAGAGAAGATTCAGGCTATTGCGGATTGGCCTAGACCAGAGAATGCTACAGAGATAAGGAGTTTTCTCGGACTAGCTGGTTACTACAGGTGGTTTGTCAAAGGTTTTGCAAGCATGGCTCAGCCAATGACAAAGCTGACTGGTAAAGACGTGGAGTATGTCTGGACGGAGGAGTGTGAAGAGTGCTTCTCAAAGTTAAAGGAGTTACTCACTAGTGCACCAGTATTGGCGTTACCAGAACCCGGTGAGCCATACGTGGTATACACGGATGCATCCAGGAAAGGACTAGGTTGTGTTCTGATGCAGAATGGTAAGGTGATAGCTTATGCTTCGCGGCAGCTACAGAAGCATGAAAGAAACTACCCTACGCATGATTTAGAGATGGCGGCTGTGGTATTTGCACTTAAGATATGGAGATCTTACTTGTATGGCGAGAAGGTGCAGATATACACGGACCATAAGAGTTTAAAGTACATCTTTACTCAACTGGATTTGAACTTGAGACAGCGTAGATGGATGGAGTTGGTAGCAGACTATGATTTGGAAATAGCATACCATCCAGGAAAGGCCAACTTGGTGGCGGATGCGTTGAGTAGGAGAAGGGCTAGTGTATCATCTGAACAGAATGTTGGAAGCATTGTGAACATGCTAAGGACATTGCAGTTGAATGCAATAACGGATGGGGTTGAACCGTTGGGTTTGGAAGCTGCGGATAGAGCTGACTTGTTGACTAGAATTCGGATTGCTCAGGAGCAGGATGAGAATCTGAAAAAGGTGTCACAGAATGATAAGACAGAATATCAGACTTCAAACAATGGGACCATTGTTGTGAACGGACGGGTCTGTGTTCCAGATGTGAAGGAGCTGAGGGATGAAATCCTTAAGAAGGCACATCAGTCAAGGTTTTCTGTTCATCCGGGAATGACCAAGATGTATCAGGATTTGAAACGGTACTATCATTGGGTTGGGATGAAACATGATGTGGCTAAGTAGGTAGCCGGATGTGAGATGTGCCAATTGGTTAAGGCAGAGCATCAGTTTCCAAGTGGTTTGTTGCAAACGTTGCCAATGCCAGAATGGAAATGGAACATGATCACCATGGATTTGTACTGGGATTACCTAAGACTAGGAAGTTGCATGATGGGATATGGGTCATTGTGGATCGTTTGACCAAGTCTGCTCACTTCTTAGCAATGAAAAAGACTGATGGAGTACCAAAGTTGGTGGACATGTATATTGATCAGATCGTGAAGTTGCATGAAGTGCCAGTAAATATCATTTCAGATCGTGATCCGAAGTTTACTTTGAGGTTCTGGAAAGAGTTCCAGGAAGCGTGTGGAACGCGGTTGCATATGAGTACAGCGTATCATCCTCAGACTGATGGGCAATCAGAACGGACGATCAGGACATTGGAGGATATGTTGAGAGCGTGTGTACTGGACTGGGGTGGTAGTTGGGAAGACTACTTACCGTTGGCTGAATTTGCATATAACAATAGTTACCAAAGGAGCATAGAGATGTCTCCGTATGAGGCGTTGTATGGCAGGCCGTGTAGGACACCATTGTGTTGGACACAAGTGGGGGAGCGTAGCGTAATGAGGCCAGCAGTGGTCGAGGCTACTACATAAAAGATCAGATTGTTAAAGGTTAAGCTGAAAGAGGCTATGGACAGGCAGAAAAGTTATGCGGACAAGCATCGCAGGGATCTGGAGTTCAGTGTGGGTGATATGGTTTATCTTAAAGCACTGACTTATAAGGGAACGGATAGGGCAGCTAAGAGTGCCAAGTTGAATCTGAGGTACATGGGGCCGTACCGGATACTGGAAAGAGTTGGCGCAGTGGCTTACAAGTTGGACTTGCCATCGGAAATGGGAGCGTTCCATAATGTATTCCATGTGTCACAGCTGAGAAAGCACATTACTGAACGGGAAACGGTTATAGAGGAGCCGCCAGCAGACTTGCAAGAGGACCTTGCAGTAGTGGCTAGGCCGGTTCGAGTGTTAGATCGGAAAGAAGAGACTAAGCGGGGGAAGCTGGTCAGAATGGTTCAGGTCGTATGGGACTGCGACGGGCATGAACAGGTTACTTGGGAAAAGGAGGCTAGGATGAAAGCTGAGTATCCCAATTGGTTTGACAAGTTGCAAACGGATGAGTCGGATTCGAGGACGAATCCAGAACGGGTGGGGGAGAGTTGTAGCATCCGTATCCGAGAAAATGTGGAATGATCGTACCGGACAGGGCATTGTCCGAGGGATGACCGAGCCAAGGGTCGGATACTGGCTGGGAAATGGAGGTTCGGACTATGGTCGGGTGTTGACCGATGAAATAGTCGGATGTGGGCTGGATAGTCGAGCCGGATGGATCATATCCGAGGGAAAACAGGGTCCAGTCCGAGGGAAATAGGATTTATCCGAGTGCAGTGGGATATATCCGAGAGTCTGGGAGGTTAGTCCGAGTGTCAGTGGACTGTCTCCGAGGGGGAATAGGAAACCTCCGAGAGAAATAGAGGATTAGCCGAGGTGGGACAAGTTGTCCGGGAGAAATAGGAATATCCGGATGAAAAATGGAAAACACCTTGGATAAGGGCGGTTTATCCGAGTGGGAAGGGATTTGGGCCGTGGGCCAAGTGTTTGGTCGGCTATTTTGGGATTTATCGAGTGGATGGTCGAGCCGGTACAGGGAATAGCCAAGGAAAATCGAATCGGACCGGGATAATCCTACTGGAACCAGGAAAACGTCGGATAAGTCCGGGTTACCTAGGGTTTTGCGAGTATATAAGGGAATTTGAGACTTAACTCGAGGGTGTTGCGTTTATTTGAGCTAAATAAAGCAAAGAGAGAGTTTAGTCAAGAGAAAACCCTAAGAAAAACAGTTTATCCCGAGGACATCCGAGAGAGATCAGGCTATCGCCGAGCAGAACCGATCATCGCCGAGATAAACTGGTAAGCGATCGAATATTTCCCTAAGTGTTGAGTTTTCATCGGATAATCTCTAGCTAATAGCCTTGTTTTGTGGGGTTTCTGAGGGAAAACAGAGTTTGGCTCGAAGAAAGGTGAACGGATCAAGAGATAGCCGAGGGGATAAGGATCGGATCGTACCGTGAGCCGAGAGATTCTTAGAGAGATCGGATATCTTCATTTTGGTGCAGTTTTCATCGGGATTTCTTCTGACCAATCTGTTTCTAGCCTTGTCTAAGGTGAGTGCATGACTGTGGTTGAGTCTAGGACCGTAGGATTGCTAGGGTTGAGTGTTTTGCATGTTGATTGTATGATTTTCATGTTATGTATTTGGAATTGATAAGCAATCCTTATGTTGTGATATATTGTGGTGTTTACCGTGGCATATATGATGTTTAGCTAACCTCAGGGTAATCCGGATCATGTACTAGCTTAGGAGATGTGGAATTCTCGCTGAAGTAGACATGGGTCTTAAAAAGGGATTGATCTTGGTTGGTTAGGCTAGATGATCATGGCCGTTTGATATGGCTATGTCTATTGCGAATTGATTGTGTTGAATGTTGAATCCGAAAGTATGACTGCGTGTTTTGGTACTGACCAGGTGTTACGGGATGACCGTACTCACTAAGTATTTGTGAAATACTTATGCCTCTCATTTTGAGTGTGTAGGTACTAAGCAGTAAGGGGCGAGACCAGGCGGCAGTGATGGATATGGATGGATCGGGACTTGGTTTTATTTGTGTTAAGACTTGTGTTTATAGTCTTATGGCTTTGGTGTTTGACCGTTTAGGTTGCTAGATGATTGGTTGTAATCGTTAGTGAACCTTGTGATTTGATTTATGTGGAACCCCGGATCTGTTTAAGTATTTTTTAGAGTTAAATGAATGAAATGAGTTATTTATATTCCGCTGTGTATTGTTAAAAAAGACTTAGAAAAATAAAGAAAAAGTTCGAAAATATGGCTAAGTATAGAAACGAACTTAGATGATGTAGTGGGACACAGCCGCAGTACGGTTTACCGGGTTGGGTTACTACAGAAACCATCGCAAGGATTAAGCTGGTATCCCGGATTTCTTGCAACGATCACGCCGTAGCCATCAAGGTTAAATACATCTGCTGCAGCCTGGATCACGGTACCATAATCAGTCGATTTCGTGAAGCACAAGACAATCTTTTCCTTTATTATATGAGCTGGATTCTGGGATAGTTCTTCACAGACTCTGCAAGTAAAACAAGGATTTGATCTCATTAGGTACAAAGACGATGGAAATGGGAAACCAGAGAGAAGACTAGAGACTTAAGACTTACCCAGAAAATGTCGCGTTGCTTGATCCTGGACCTTCAAGGTAAACTAGACCAGTGAAATCCATATCTGGACCTTGATACAATGCTTGGCCCTAAGATTTGAAGAATCTAGAAATGTTAAACAAAGTTTGTTAAAGAAGTGATCTTTGCTCTGTTTTTGAACTAATGTAAAGCTTACCACAATTGTAACATTGTTGCCAAGTGTAATAAGTGTGGGAAAAGACCGATCTTGAGTGGTTGCAGCAACGGTAATGACCCAAGGAGCGGTGTTGGTTACGGTTTGAGAAGCAGGACCAGCGTTTCCACCGGAACACACGACCGGAATCCCTTTCGCAACCGCGTGAAAAGCTCCAACCGCCATAGCGTCTCGAGCGTCAACTTCCGGAAACAGAGGAACCGGGAACGATGTCAAGATCGACAAAACGTCTACACCATCATGTATCGCTTCGTCTATTGCTTTCAACATATCTGCAGCTGAACAAGTCGCTGTTCCTATAGAGGCTAAGTGCCAACAAGCCTTGTACATAGCTACACGGGCTCTAGGCGCACCACCTCTAGCGATTCCTCCTCCGAGAGCTAAGTAGCTCGCGTCCGGGACGAATGAGCCAGCAGCGGTTGCAGCCACGTGGGTCCCGTAACCGTTGAAGTCTCTTGGAGAGACGTATTCTGGATTCTCAGTGGTGTTCCAGTTGCTTTCGTCGGCGCCGCCAAGTAAGCCACTGATGAAGTATTTGGCGCCAATCAGTTTTCTGTTACAAACGGTTGAGCCGTTGAAACTCTGTTTTGACTCACAGCTTCCTTTCCAACATTTTGGTAGTGCAAGACCATTGTCCTTGAATGATTCAGACTCGGGCCATATTCCTATTAACACAAAACCGGTTTAGCAAATTTGAAACTTTTTAAGAAATGGTTTAAGAGGCAAGAATTTGGTTTAGGAAAAATACCTGAGTCAACGACGCCGACGATGACTTTGTCTCTCCTGTTAGTTTGGTTTAGGAGATTCTTTGGATGTGTTGAAGTATGTTTTAAGTAATCCCAAGTCCTAGTTGTCTGCAATTGGTAGAATCTATCGCGTATGACATGAATAACTTCTGGTAATTCTGTTTTCACAAAATAAAGATTGTCTTTAGCCACAACGAAAACCAAACAAGAACTCTCCCGAATCACATATCCAGCAATCAGCCTTTGTTATTAATTATAAGCAAGTACCTAAGAGTTGATTCACATGGGAATCGGTTAGCTTAGCTGTGAAAGCTGAGAAACCATAGCGATAACTATACACCATTGAATCATGTGCAGCTTCTTTGCTGTGATGTCACAATAAGCAAAATGAGTTTAGCTGTTTGGATATGGTTTTGGTCAAAGTTAGTTAATTGAAGATATTGTTACCTTCCTAGGATTGACCAAAGCATTTGATGATGAGACTTGGTGACTGTGTCAGGATCATCGTGTTGTCTCTTTCCTAAATACACTATGTTTTGGGGTTGCACGGGCTCTCAGGTTTCAGGCCAATCTTCCGATAGATTTTTGGGGTTTTTGTGCTCTCACTGCAGCGTATCTTATTAATCGTACTCCCACTGTTTTGCTTCATGGTCGGACTCCGTTTGAGCTAATCTACAAACGACCACCACCTATGAATCACATAAGGATTCTTGGCTGTGTTTGTTATGTTCACAATCAAAAACATGGTGGCGATAAGTTTGAAAGTCGTAGCACCAAATGTATCTTCATCGGATATCCTTTTGCCAAGAAAGGTTGGCGTGTTTATGATATTGCAACTGGCAATGTATTTGTTTCGCGAGACATTGTGTTCCGTGAAGCAAATTTTCACTTCGCCACTCCTGAACTCAGTCCTCCTGAAATCAGTAATCCATCACTCGCACCATCTCTTTTTCAAGATGCTGAAGTTGTCTCTGTTGACAATGATCCTCCAGAGTCTGCACCTGCTGTCATTGACTCCTCTGTTCCGAGCTCCCCTATTCCGAGCTCCCCTGTTCCGAGTTCCTCTGTTCCAAGCTCATCGGTTCCCAGCTCTCCTGTTTCTGCTCCACCGGTACTTGCACTCACTGATGGCGATAATTCAGAGGCTGGCGGATGATCTGTCACCCACGTTGCCTGCAATTGATGACCCTGCATCAGATGAACTGGGTCGCGGTCTTCGTTTAAAGCAGCACTCCGTTAGACTTGCAGGTTACGTCACAAATCTTCTTCATAATCCTCTTCCGTCAGCTACACCATATCCTTTGGATAATTATTTATCCAGCTCCCAGTTCTCCACTAATTACCAGGCGTATGTAATGGCTCTCACCTCTGCAGTTGAGCCAACACACTATAAAGACGCAATCCTTGACGAACACTGGCGTGGAGCTATCACAGATGAGATCGTTTCTCTTGAAGATAGAGGTACTTGGACGGTCGTAACACTACCTCCTGGTAAGAAAGCACTCGGCTACAAATGGGTGTTTAGAATCACTCCAATCTGATGGCACACTTGAGCGTTACAAGGCTCGTTTAGTAGTCCTCGGCAACAATCAAACTGAAGGCATCGACTACACGGAGACCTTTGCACCTGTCGCGAAAATGGTCACCATTCGATCATTTCTTCAACAGGTTGTCTCTCTTGATTGGGAAGTCCATCAAATGGATGTTCATAATGCTTTCTTACATGGTGATCTTGATGAAGTGATGTACATGCAGTTCCCGCCTGGCTTTCGTACAAATGATAAAACGAAAGTGTGTCGTCTTCATAAGTCTTTGTATGGCTTAAAGCAAGCGCCTCGCTGCTGGTTTGCTAAGCTTGCTTCTGCTTTGAAGGATTACGATTTTCATCAATATGAACCTGATTATTCTCTATTTACTCTTAACGCAAATGGTACTATACTCCATGTTCTCGTGTATGTGGATGATCTGGTCATCACTGGAAACTTTGTCGCTGTGATTGTTGAGTTTAAGGGTTACCTAAGCTCTTGCTTCCACATGAAAGATCTTGGTGTCTTGCGGTACTTCTTGGGCATCGAAGTAGCACGAAGTCCTGCTGGTTACTTATGTCAGAGAAAGTATGCGCTCGAGATTATTACTGAAACAGGTTTGCTTGGTGTTAAACCTGTTGCTTTTCCCTTGGAACAAAACCACAAGTTGGCTCTAGCTTCCGGTGATACTATCTCTGAACCTTCTCGCTACCGTCGTCTGATTGGAAGGTTGATATATCTCAGAAATACACGCCCGAAACTCTCTTATGTCATTTATACTCTCTCTCAGTTCATGGATAGTCCCAAATCTGCACATTGGGAAGCTGCTCTAAGAGTTGTTCGATATCTCAAATCCAGTCCAGGCCAAGGTATTCTCTTGCGATCAAACACAAAGTTAGTCGTATCTGCTTGGTGTGATTCTGATTGGGGATCGTGCCCCATCACACAACGCTCTCTCACTGGAACATTCAGCTCGGGGGTTCGCCATTGTCTTGGAAGACTAAGAAACATGATGTTGTTTCTCGATCTTCTGCTGCTGAAGCAGAGTATCGAGCTATGGCAGATACAGTTCAAGAACTACTTTGGCTTCGTAAATTGCTTCCTGCGCTTGGTATCTCTGTGGATTATCCGATAACACTGCATTCAGACAGTCTCTCTGCCATTAATCTTGCCGCCAATCCAGTTTATCATGCTCGTACAAAACATGTTGGGATGGACTGTCACTTCATACGTGATGAGATTTTATGAGGCATCATTACCACAAAGCATGTTTCAACAAAATCTCAGCTCGCTGACATTCTCACAAAGGCACTCGGGCGTAAAGAATTCAAAGTTTTTCTTCTCAAGTTGGGTGTCTGCAATCTCCACACTCCACCTTGAGGGGGTGGAGGAGGGGGGGGAGAGAGGTATTGGGCTGTATATGGGCTTTGTAATTAGATTGTGTTAATACCGATTAGGTCTTCAAACATCTCATGTATATAAGGCAGTCGCCTACATTCTTGAATGATAAAAAAACCCTTTTACAACTTTTAAGGTTTCTACACATGAACCTATCAAATCATCAAACAAAGCATACCAAGTTTAGTTTCTTGCAAGAACTTAACTCATATAGGAACTGATTTAAGCACCAAAGGAAAAGGATTGAGTAGAGATTCAGATCTTGGAATAAGATGAAAAAAATTAAGTACCTTAGTCTCAGCAACAATGTTCATAGCTAGCATTAGACATATAGCCACAAGAATCGGTGTTCTCGTCATTTTGAGAGATGTAATGTAATGTAATAAACTTGAAGATACTACTGTGGAAGAAGAAGGTTTTATATTTATAGGTTCTACTTATAAACATGTATATACATAAAGTTGATTTCTTTTAGGGTCGCATTGTTTGAAAACTTTGAAATATCATGGGTTGCTCTGACCATGCAACTTGTATGTTTATATAAAATGAAATATGAGTAAGATTTCTTTTTATACTATGATCATTTTTTCATTAACATTATATTGTTAGTTTATTAGAAAATGCGGCGCGTCGTATGACCCTTTATCTCTTTAGATGAGATAAGAGGAACCACATCAGAAAGTCCCTCCCTTGCAATCTCAAGAGGCAAGAACCATTGAGTTGACCTTTTCTTCTTCTTCTATTTTAAATTATTAGAAATTATTATATCTCACTCGTGAGTTTCTGCGTATTACACGGAGAAACGAAACCGCCCTTAATTTATCTTTTTTCTGATAGAAAATGATTGGCTCCAATTTGATATGCAACTGTTCCTAGAAATATTTTTTTTTGTTTTTCATATAAAAAGAAATAAATAAGTTGCTCAAGCCAAAAGTTGGTGGTATACTCGTTCCAAAAGAATCACAACAACAAAAGGACCTAATCACTCTAGCTGATGTCATGAATACGATACTTCAATGGATACAATCACCTTTCTTTTTTTGACTCAACAACAATCGTTCGTTTTTGAAATTGTATTTTACTGAAAAAAGTAGAAAATGTTCATAAAATATAAAACAATTATATTTAAATCTATCTATAATAACAAACTGAAAAAATGCCAAATGTACTTTGAAAAATTGTGTCTTTTCAAAATTTAGGGTTGTGTCTTTCCATTACAAATAGTTGTATTTTTTCACTATGAATAGTTACGTTTTTTCATCAACTATAATTTGTGTCTTTTCAAAACTATTTATATAGTTCAAAACCACATAAAAAAAATCATTTGGATCTAACTTTTATTTTCTTACTATAGTAAGTTTTTTATCGTAAACTTATTTATTTATCATAACATATTATCAGGATACAAAGTGTTTAAAAGTCCTGGAAGTTTAGATATTGAATTGAGTAAAAAATTCCATTTGGGAGTCCAATTTTAGCTAAATACGAGCAGTTTCATTACAAGATTGTTTTATATGCATTACATCAAAAAAATAAAATTTATTCAACCAAAATTTAATGATATTTTTATTATAAAGAAATTATATGTGTTTTGTTTACTAACATATATACTATGTTATTTAATTTTTTTGTTAACAATCCGAATAAATGCATTTACACTTTAAAAAGTTGTGTCATTTCAAAATTTGTGGTTACCTCTTTTCATTATAAATGATTGCATCTTTTCATTATAAATGATTGCGTTTTTTCATCACAACTGTAATTTGTGTCTTTTCAAAACTATTTATATTGCTTAAAACCACATAATAAAAATCATTTGGGTCTAACTTTTATTTTTTTTACTATGATGGATTTTTTTTGTCGCAAACAATCTGAATAAATGCCACTTACACTTAAAAAAGTTGTGTCATTTCAAAATTTGTGGTTGTGTCTTTTCATTATAAATGATTGCATCTTTTCATTATAAATAGTTGCGTTTTTTATCACAACTGTAATTTGTGTTTTTTAAATTATTTATTGCTCAAAACCACAGAAAAAATCATTTGGATCTAACTTTTACTTTCTTACTATAATGGTTTTTTTGTCATAAACTTATTTATTTATCATAACATATTATCATGATACAAAGTGTTTAAAATTCATAGAGGTTCAGATATTGAATTTGAGTAAACAAAATTCTATTTGGAGGTTTAATTTTGGCTAAAATATGATAAGTTTCATTACAAGAATGCTTTACATGCATTACATCAGAAAAATAAAATTTATTCAACAAAAATCTAATTATATTTTTATTATAAAAAGTTATATGTGTTTTGTTTACTAATATATATTATGTTATTTTTTTTTGCTAACAATCCGAATAAATGCCATTTACACTTTAAAAAGTTGTGTCGTTTCAAAATTTGTAGTTGCGTCTTTT